GGCAGAGTAGGCACCTGCAATGTAAGGAGAGCAGGTGCCTACTCTGCTTTAGTAATTATGGCAAACTCGCGGCTCGCCTGGCTGCAAGAATATTCATTGTCGGCTGCATGTGGCCCATGGGCCGCGAATTTGACATGCTTGATTTACAGTGTCTACAGTATCTCTTTAAAACCTGCCTCAGCTAAGTGCAAATGGAAAAGCAAAGTTAACATGAACAAATTCTCAATAAAAATAAAGTGCATGTGTCAAGTGAACAATTCATCAAATAGCAATTAACCTCAAAAGTTATGGCACCAACTAGGGCTCGCAGGGCCATTACACAGATATGTATCTAGTATCGTACAAAATCACAGTTAAATGCACATAGTATACATGTTTTGGACATGTACATCAAAATCATGTGCAAATAATGCATTTATCTCCTGCATTTACCTTGCTAGGGCAGATCACAGGTAAAATGTCAAGAGGAAAAAAAAATAGTAACTATTTCTTAAGGCCTAGGTTTAAACATATGTACTTTCCATTTAACACAGTGCTGTGTTTTTAAATCTAGGACTATTTAAAGTTCAATAAGAAGTGCTTTTGAGTGCTATTGAGTACCAAATCTGGTACTACCCCCACAAGATACCCCTACAAAGCGGGGAGACAGAGACCATCACAACAAGCCCGGAACATGCCGCCACAAAGCTCCTCAAAATGGCGGACACCACTCACACAACATGTCTCATTTACAGTCCCCGGTGCACACATACCCGATAGCCGACAGGCCAAACAACTCACCACGAGGCATCCAGAAGCGAAAAGCAAGAGCTCCTCCAAAACGTACACCCGCGAAAGCTGAGCTCCAGCAGGGTGCCCTCCAGAGACTACACCCGCAATACGAGGTGAAAAGCAGCAAACCGAGGCCTGGGCTCCAGGAGAAACTGAAAAAGAAACCCCAATGGTGCCCTCATCGGAGACTTAAGACACAGAAAGGAAAGACAAGCTTCACCAGACAGACGACCCTGAGAGGTGTAAGACCCGAGGAGGCGACCACAATAAGACGGCGCAAACATCGCTGCCCCAGCCCAACACAGGAGAACACCATGCAGCACCCAGTTAAGGGGGCAACATACCCACTGACAAACACACCTCCGCAAGATACAGCGGCTCGGAGCTCCCACACATCGGAGAAAAGGCAAGTGCTACGGCAAACAACACTGGGAGAAAACACCCAGCCCCAACAAGGCATCGGCTGACCCCATAGTGACTGTGAAATGCTATCAGGCAAGGTGCCCAATGCTACCCGTTTTTTAAATGCCTCAATTGGACAAGTATATTATTCGATGACACCTATTCTCTTTATATTTTGTTCTATGTCTTTATATTAGCCCATGCAGGGGATCCCAGGGGGTCTCACTCGTAGATCACTTGTTCAAACTATCACAGATGTATTCTTGATTAACTAGTCAAGTGTATTATGAGTGTATCTCGTTAGTTAAATCTAGTATGTTAGCTCAGGTCTCGAGCCTGGTATAATCATACCAAATAGACAAAGAGGATTATCAATCTTATGTTTAACTATTAATATGCTTAATTACTTTAGCATGCTATTTCATATAAGCAATGTATACTAGTCTGTTATATTCATGTTTAACAAAAATGTGCAAATGTATCATGCCACGAACATGTCTGCATTAACCTGCCTGTGTCTGCTGTCGAGGCTACACAGGCATGCCTGTAAAATCTTCTGTACCAAAAATAAAGAATTAAAAAAAAGAAAAATACCACCAGGCCTGTTATTCTAATTCTGCATGTCTCCTTTCCAAGCTCATGCTTTCTTCTATGACTGTGTATTTGGCATTTGATGCTCACTGACAGACACGCAAGAATCTATTGCTGGTAACACTAGCCAAAGGAAGATGTGTTCGGACAGAAAGTGATGTATTTACAGTAAGACCAAATGACATCTGGTTTACACTAACCAATGGCCCTCATTATCTGAATCAGTAGATCACATTAATATTCCAAACCTGTGTTGGTGAATTGCAACGTGAGTTACGTGTACTGAGGAAAAAAAAAATGTGTATCAGGCTGGTTTGTTTGTATCATGAATGTGGATTGGAGATATGCATTCATTAGAGAGAGAAAAGGCCTCTATCATGATAACTGTGCTTCCTGGCTAGGACGTAATGCACTACGGTTGTCAACTTTTTTGCAAAAAATACTAGCCATGCTAATTTGCATTATTATATTAAATAATTACATATGCATAACATTACACTAAAGAAAAGCAAAAATATATTTTTAAAAATAAAATTCCATAAATCACTAAATATTTCAATTTAATTTTGCTGTATAAAGGGATTTTTATTACAGATATTTTTTTCAATAATGGCACCGGCCTCACAGCCTCAAACAAAATGCCGGCCAGGTGGCAATACTATTAAAGGCCTTAACAGCACTGATAAGGCTGATAAGTTTCAGCCAATGAGATAAATCCTGCAGTTACCACGGCAATGCTCCGGATCTCGCAAGAGTGAACTCTAGCCCTGGAGCTGCGGGCTAGAGTTCACTCTCACCACTGTGACCACAAGGGATTCACCACCAGGGATCGAGAAATGTCCCCCCTCCTCCCTCAGTAAAGGTAAGAAGGGAGGGGGGACATATATATATATATATATATATTGTGTGTGTATATGTGTGTATATGATAAAAAGCCCCTTTACCCTCCTCATCACACATTCACACACTCCCCCGCCCCACACGTACACACACAGCCCTCCATACATACATAGCCCCCCATACACACATTGCCCCACACATAGATACACAGCCCCCATACACACACTGCCCCCACACACACATACACACACATACATTGTCCCCCATACACACACTGCCCCCCCACACACATATACTGCCCCTGTAAATACACTGCCCCCACACACATACACAGCCCCTCATTCAAACACTGCCCACACACACACATACACTGCCCCCATACACACGTTTCCCCACGCACACATACACTGCCCCCCATACACACACAGCCCCCACACACACCATACACATTCACACACTGCCCCCATACACACATTGTCACACACACATTGCCCCACACACCCTACACATTCACACACTACACCCCACACACACGACTGCTCCTATGCCCTACTACAGCCACATATCCCAGCAGACCCCAGGTAAGTTGTCAAACTGTTCTTAAACGGTTTGACTTCTTACTTTGGGAGGGGGTCCCAGCACTCCTGGCACCATAACCACTACACAGAGCTGTAGTGGTTATTGTGCATGGATTATTTCTTTAAATAATCTACAAGTGCCCCTCCCGAGAACAGGCTCTGGATCCGCCACTGGTTGCAAGTTGGATTCTTATTTTGCTTAAAGTTATTGGCTCTATATTGTACAGACTTCTTATACCTTTGATTAAGTTGTTTATTCTAGAAAACCAACAATGTGTGAGCGCTATAGAAT